TGTGTGAAAATGGAACAATGGAACCTTAGATTGGTTTGGGAAGTCAGGAAGAGGATTGAGAGAGAGTGAAGGAGGAAGGGAGTCTGGTCAGGGTACATTGTATAGACATGTCTAGGCAAAAATCTACTTTTTCAGGATTGGTATTAATAAAAGTTGTAAATATATATGTATATATGTTCATAGATCAGTGATTGAGTTTCTTTTCCTTTTTCCACCTTCCATAATAGAACTCATGCTAGGCAAGTGTTCTTGTAGTAAGCTGAGAGATTCCCCTAGCCTTTTACTAGGTTTTTTTTTTTTTTTTGTCAGCCGTGGGGCCTGAACTCTGGGCCTGGGCGCTGTCCCTCAGCTTTTCAGCTTGAGGCTAGCGCTCTACCACTTGAGCCCCAGCACCACTTCTGGTTTTCTGAGTGATTTATTGGAGATAAGAGTCTCACGGAGTTTCTTGCCAAGACTGGCTATGAACCTTGATCCTCAGATCTCAGCCTCCTGAGTAGCTAGGATTACAGGCGTGAGCCACTGGCGCCTGGCTTTACTCGTTTGTTTTTTGTTATTGTTTATTTGTTATTGTTTTTTGTTATTATTTGTTATTTTTGTTATTGAGTTCAAGTCCTAGGGCTTGAACTCGGGGACTGGGTACTATCCCTGAGTTTCTTTAGCTCAGGACTTAGTGCTCTACCACTTGAGCTACAGGGCCACTTTCAGCATTTTTCTGTGTATATGATACTGAGGACTCAAACCCAGTGCTTCATGCATGCTGGGCAAGCACTCTGCCACTAAGCCACAATCTCAGCCCCCTTTTACTTGTTATTAACAGAACTAATTTTCCAAATTATGATATAGTATTCCAAGCTTCAGTTCCATAACCCAGTAGCATCCCTTCTGACATCAAGATGAACAAAAGTTTGCCTCCAAAAAATTCTATTACTGAGTCAATAAGAATTGCTCAGATCTGGCATTGTAAGCAAAAGTGACCTGCTGCAGAGACTTGTTTCAAAGGGTAGAGAAGACACTAACTCTGTCAGGAATGGAGGAAATGAAAACAAGCAGTTTCCTGTTGAAGTACTACAGGGAGCCAGCTAGGTTTCATTTTGCCTCTGAGGTTAACAAGGTTTATCATAAAAATTTAGAGGACACAATGGAATAATTTGAAGGAGAGCAAAGGGTTACAAGGCTTGGATCAGAGTAGGATGGTAGGTACATGAGAAATAGGGAAACAAGTGTCCATCAAGTGATGATGAAACTTGGGTTAATGTGGCCTGTTGTCAGTAACTGAGATTGATGTGGAAAGGATCCTGAAAGAATTCTTTTATTTGGTAGTCTCAAAAAAGAAACAAACAAGAGTGAACACAGAAAAACATAGAACACATGATCTCTTATGTAACTGTCATCTCTCTCCAATAATCATCAGCCTGTAGGCACTGGACTGTACCTCTCAGTGCTTCTGCATTCAATACAGTGACCTGGTAGACTCACAGGTAAGCCAAACAAAAGATTTAAAAATACTGACTGATAATTTCTATTTTTTCCTGTTTCTTTTTCTTCATGAAAACCCTCCATTGCAATGCACATCAAGGTCATAACTGACAAACATGTTACATTTGACCATTAGAAAATTCAGGGTTTGGTATTGGATGGTTTTGGGTTGGAGTTTTATCTGTATCACTCAACCATTTGATGTCCTTGCTAAACCTGTTGGTTAAACTTAGTTCTTGGATTCTTCTTTACAGTTACTTCTTAAGGATTTGTGGGAATTATATGACATACTACAACTTAGTGCTTTACACTGACCTACATCTAAAAAAATAGTCAAATAGTAATATACTATTACTACTGCTATTTTAGGTGTCAGACTTGGGATTTGGATCTAGGCTCTGATTCCAAAATCTGAGATCTTGTAACTTTGTAATTTAACACACATTTCAGATGATTATAAGGAAAACAAAGAAATCATCATACAGATAGTGTATTCATTCTGTCTATTATTCATTCAGAGATTCCTTTACAATAAATTTCCAAGTGTATACTATTTTTTAAAAGTTTTCAAATGATATTCCACTATTTTATTTTCAAGAGGCAAAAGTGCTTTTCTATTTAGAATAGTTTAGTCAGACTAAAATGAAGCTACATTTTGATGGATGTTTTCACAACTTTTTAAGCAGAATTTCAGAATATGCACAGTATGGAGGGTAGGAAGAAGTCCCCTATGCCCATTCTTCACCAGTTTTCGACTCATGGCCAGTTTCATATGTCCTTTGAGTTTCTAGCCTAAGTTTATAGATCTCTTCTCCTTTACCTCTTGTTGATGTTTATAGTGGAAGAATCTGGACCATTTGTTTTTTGCAGTAAGGATCAGCAGAGCCTTAGTTTTGTATGACAGAGAAGTGGTTTTTATACTTTTTTGTTGTTGTTGTTGGTTGTGGGACTTGAACGCTAGGCCTGGGCTTTGTCTCTGAGTTGTTTTGCCCAAGGCTAAAGTTTTACCACTTAGTGCTACAGGGCCACTTTTGGTTTTGGTTTTCTAGTGGTTAACTGGAGGTAAAAATCTCACAGACTTTCCTGTCTGGGCTGGCTTTGAACCTTGGTAGTTAAGATTATATGCATGAGTCACCGGCGCCTGGTGGTTTTTTTTACTTTGAATAGTTATTATTTCTTAAAGAAAAGCAGCACACTTTATTGGCTCAGGTAGAAGTAATGCAGATGTTCACCAACTGGTGAATACATAACCTAATAGTAGTACATCCATCTAGTACTGGGACTCTTCTTTAGTAACTCATTTAATTAACAAACATATAATGAATTTCTCTCTCTTCATGTATTGGAAAGGGAGTCCTTTTTGTGTCAGTCCTGGGGCATGAATTCCATTTGTTATGGATGTAACTTTAAGAATATGTTTATTTTCATACTTATTGTTGAAAAGGCACCTTATGTAACTCATAATCCTAAAGTACTTTTTAAATAAAAATTATATCTAAATGACAGTTTTGAGTCCCTCATAATGCTAAAACTTCTCATTTTTCTTGCTTGATTTTATCAGTACTTCCAGAAGTCATGACAGCAGACATCCATATCTTGAGTTTGATTTTATTAACATTTTGTTAATACTTTGTCATTACATGCACTAATCTAAGAATTTCTTTATTGGCTTAAATTAATTATACAAAGGGTGGGGATTTCATTGTTACATCTGTACACATGTTTACACTGTATTCTATTTCCTTGTTCTAGTTTCATAGTTGCAAATAGTCTATTTTGACAGTATTCAATCTTCTTTATATCCTCACTCTAGGCACACCCCCTTCCTACAAGTCCACCTACCTATAGAGACTATCTTCCCTCCCCTGCTCCCTGAGAATGTTATTTTAAAATATCCTGAGCGATTTCTTTTTTTTTTTTTTTTTTGTTCCAGGCTCTGGGCCTGGGCACTGTCCCTCAGCTCTTCAGCTCAAGGCTAGTGCTCTATCACTTGAGCCACAGTGCCACTTCCAGGTTTTTCTGCTTATGTGGTGCTGAGGAATCGAACCCAGGGCCTCATGCATGCAAGGCAAGCGCTCTACCACTGAGCCACCTTCCCATCCCTCCTGAGCGATTTCTAATTAGGACTAATTAACATATTTGTAGCACATAATCAGATTTCTTTTACTAATTGCTATTTTTGACCTAGGATTTATAATTTTTCACAGGATCAAATTACTTTTGTAGTTTAACTCTATTAATCTATACTCTTAATAGCCAATAGCTATACGTAGGTTCTTTCCTGAAAAGTAGTTTTGATCCTATTATGCTTATATTCCAAGGAACTGCAACATTAACATCCTTGGTGCTATGTAAGGAAATGTATAAATGTCTCAGGTTATCTATTATTCATGTTTCTTGGAGATCAGGATATGTCTTTCCAGTCTTGACCTCAGGAATTATGAGGCCCTGAAATTATGAGGCTAGAATGTTATCCTGTGAATCCTGGCAGAAGCTCTTAGTCTCCTGGCAGAAGTCAGGAAATGAGTACATTTCTTTTCTGACAGTGTCACTTCTTCCCGTGTTCTCTCTCACTTTTCCCCTTCTGTCCCTACTAACAAGTTGTATAGTTTATATTCCACATAGTGTCTAGTGAGTACCACTGCTGCATTCCAAATTGCTTCATAGCAAGCTAGCACCCCTTCTTTTCAGTTTTTGCTGTCTACAGATCCTCCAGTGACCCCTCTTGGTTTATACAGTGGCCTTTGTTTTGTTCTCTTATGCACTGTTTATAAACCTTGTTGTCTTCCCTGCTTACTGTGCTTTGGTCAGCGTCTTAATGCCTTTGTAAACAAGGCTTGCAAAGAAGTTTTCTGTTTTGTGTCTCTCACTGAGCTCTTTAGATCAGTATATTAGTTACAAATATGTTGTAAAGAACAGATAACCTACATAATGAGGACACTAGAGAGATGTGTGTGAAGTCTGGTGATAGATAATGGTGGTAGACAATTGTTGGCTCCAAATTATACCCATCCTTTAAATTACATCGTGCTTACCTAACTCCCCCAGTGAAAATATTCTTTATATTATTATAGGAATAGTAAGTTAGAACGTAACTTTTATCACTAGGTTATTTCTCCTTCATATTCATATATACACTGACCTATTTATCTTCTTTACTAAACTATAAATTAAATGTTATGATAGATCATTTACGCTGCAGAGTGCCTTGTATAAAGTAGACACAATGAATTTAATTGTTGAAGGAATAATAAAGAATGAATTTTTTTAAAGAAATTGGTCCCTGCTAATTAGAGCTAAGAGGGAAGACATGTTGCCAGAGATATGAATGTGTATGGAGGTATCAGTTTGAAGTAGAGAATTTCCTGGAATAAAATGTACATCTTGCTGAAAAGAACTTATTTATTGTGTAATTCCTAAATGTACAAACGTTTCTTTAATTCCATCAAAATTGTTTTTACAATATACCATTGAAACACTCTTAATATATGTGAAGATGAATTGGAAACTCTTCTTTCTTTCAGTGCTTAGATGAATATGAAGATGATGAAGCAGGACAGAAAGAGCGGAAACGAGAGGATGCAATTACACAGCAGAACACATTGCAGAATGAAGCTGCAAGCTTATTAGATCCTGGCAGCTCCTATTTGCCACAGGTGAGTGAGTATTTAAAACTACAAGGAAGCCACTAGCTACTTTAATAAGTATTTAAGTTGCTGTTAATAATTATTCCAGTCTAATTTTTGTAGCATCAGCTTCTTAAAAGTGTTTTCTATTGTTTTAGCCACTAATTTTCTTTTTTATTCAGATACTTGTTCACTTAAGCAATGTTTAGCTCATAGTTCCTGAGCAATGAATATTTGATGACTGACTGACAAGCTGGTTTAAGCATCAAGTTTAAAAATAACCAAGGAAAATAAGGACAATTAACAGGTTGAATTAATCAGTTCAACTGTTCTAGGTTGATTTTTGAATTAGAATTACATAACAAAGTCAAGTTGAACAGAAAGATCCGTCAGAATCAAATGTTTAAAGTAACAAACAATAAGAAATGTACTCATTATCTTGCCCATGTAATTGTAACCACTTTGTACAGTATTTTCACAAAAAAAGTAACAAACACAATATATAGTATTGTTAATTGCTAAAACATCTATACCATATTAATTAATTAACTGTCATTTTAAATACATAGCAACTTCACTCTACTTTTTGGTGGTACTGGGGAGAAAATCCAAGTCTTTGCTTACACCAGACACATGTTTGAGCTACCACAGAGTTATATTGTTAGCCCCAGAACCATTTTATATAAACTCTATTTTGGGAATATCTTTGATAAAATCTGGTATTGAATTATTTTGTGACATTCTGAGGCCCTAAGTTTTCTATGTGTCTTTTCAGAGTTGAAAGGAATTTCAAAAGAATATATAGGGCTGGGAAGGTGGCTGAGTGGTAGAGCGCTTGCCTTGCATACATGAGGCACTGGGTTCGATTCTTCAGCACCACATAAGGAAAAAAAAAGCCGGAAGTGACGCTGTGGCTCAAGTGGGAGAGTGCTAGCCTTGAGCTGAAGAGCTGAGGGACAGTGCCCCGGCCCAGAGTTCAGGCCCCACAACCGGAACCCCCCCTCAAAATAATATGTACATTTCCCATTTTATTGATGAAAGAGATATAAAATATAAGCATCTATTATGAAGCCTTTAGGCAGAGAGAAATAAAATATTCTGAAAAAGATGTAAACAATTTTTAAACAAATTTTTTAGTAGGTAGATGGTAATCATCACAATTCTGGGAAAAAGTAATACTATATTTTAATGTGCTGTAAGCTAACAACTAAGTCACAATAATTGTGATGAATTGTAGTACAAAACATCTTTGTGTCTTCTGTCTCATAAAGTTGAAGTTTAATCTGGACCTATTTCAGTGAACATTTCCTGTAAGTTGAAGGCTTTATTTATTGAGATAGAGACAATTTACCATGTCTTGGACATCTAGTCACAGTTCTTGGCCTTTGTACTTACTCTGGGATACTCAAACAGTAGAAAACTCAGACAATATCAGGCAGTGGCTTTAGAAACAGGTCTGATTTTTTTCTGAAGAAAGAGAGTATTACCCAGAGTTTAATGTTTTGTCTAAATGTATAGACAAAAATGGAATTCCCTGAACATAGCTGATAGGAACCTGAAGACCTGGCCTCATCTAATTTGTCTTCTTTCCTGTAGTTTTTCCTGATCTTTTCTTAGTCCTACTCTTCCTTACTCTGGTTTTTGTTTGTTTATTTGTTTTATTAGCAATTGGGGTTAGTGATTGTGCCCCTCATTGGTGACCTTGGCATCAAGTATCTGTTTTGCCTGGCTATTTATTTAGGATCGTAGTGAGGCTTAGGAGCTCCCCTGGGTCACCCGAATTGGTTTCTCAGAGTTCAAGTGGGAACAGGAAATGCTTGGTACACATAGATGACCTTCCTCTTGATCCCAGTTACTATCTGATTCACATATTCCATTACTCATAAAGGATAGATATCTGCTGACAACTCCAAAATCAAAAGCAGTAGAACATGTATATGGCAGAAAAAATAAATTCTGGCATCATTGGTTGTTTTCAAGGATATTTTGAATAGGGGAGTATGTTTCTTAAGATTGTCTGTGAATCTGAGCCACTTCCCTAGTCAGTCTTTAAAAATGAAGAACAACTGGGGTATGAATTTGGCACTTAAGTGTTCTTTTGAAAGATTAAAATATTTTCAGTCTTTTTCTTGATCTAACACAGGAGTTGGCTTTATTTTTTATTAGCATAAATTTCTTGTACAAAGAATTTGATTGTAATATTTACAACTTGTATATAATGTATTTTGAACAAAATCACCCTAGGTTACTCTTTCTTTCTGCCCTCCTTTCTCCCCCTTCTATTATAAGTTTTTGGTGCGTCAGAAGGTATTGTAAACATGTTGTCTTGCATCTTGCCCTTTTTCTGAGTATTGCAGACTCCTGCAATAATATATAAAGATATCCATATTTTCATAAATGCGGAACATTCCATTTTGCAGATGAACTATAATTTTTAAACTACCTGATCATTAAGGTTGTTTATAATTTTTTGCTGTCTTGAATAATGCAGCAGTGAAACAATAAACATATATATTGCATATGTGTAAATCTATAGGGCAAAATTCTAGAATTAGAATTGCTGGATGAAAAGAAATATGCCTTTGTAATTTTGATGATATTTCTAAAATGGTCTTTGTAGTATAGGTAGTTTTTTGTTACTCCAAACTAATGTTTTCAGTAGCATAGAATTTTTATTTTAAATAGTAGTTAAAATTTATTTTAAATAATAGTTGAATTAGCATTGTTATAAATGTGGTTTGAATTTCTTTTCTTTAGTCAGATTTCCAGAGTGAAACTTAACTGTACTATAAAACTAAACAAAATAAAAAAATGTTTTAAGGGTTTTTTAAAATCCTCAATATATACTGTTACTTATAAAATAGCCTATCAGATCAGTTTGTGTAGGTAATGCTATTTTGTTAGAGGGGATTATTAATTTTCAGAAGGCATTATTTTCATTTCTCCCTAGTGTTAGCTTATTCAACATATTGAAAGACTACACAGAATGCTTTTTAAAAACTGATAGTAAATTACTACTCTGAGCCTTCATTTTCTCTAAAATTTATTGTATTTTCCAGAAATGAAGTCTGCTATGTAACTATATAATAGCTCTTAAAAAAAAAAAAAGAAATCAAACCTGACACATTGTTACTCTCTATTGATTGAGACTTTATTCAGGTTTTCCCAATTGTCCAAATCATGTCTTTTGTGGGATCAAACTCAGAATTGTGTACATTTAGTTGCCTGTGACTCTACCGTTTACTTAGGTCTGAAGAAGTTAGTTATTTATATGGTCTTTTCTTCTTAATTTTAAAATAAGGATGAATTATATTTTTAAAGATAATAGCTTATAGATCAGTCATTTGGTAATAGATCCAATGGTTTTTATTGTCTCATGTTTACTTATAGGAAATACAAATGTAGAAAAAAACGGAGAAATCCTACTCTACTGAAACTGCCTGTAGAAAGTATAACTCCTGGTCTCACAAATTTCAAAGGCTGTAATTTTATCTTCCCAAAACTTCAAATGTCTGTTATACAACAGATATCAAATACGTTTTTCCTGAAACAATCATCCCTGTAATGGGATAGTTTGGATTGCTCAAAGGGAAGGAAAACACCTTGTAGAGCTAAGAAAATGCTGGCAGAGCACAGGCTGTTTTGTGTAAGTTTAAATAAAACATTCTGGCTCATTTAAGCTTGTACTGTCAATAAGGAAATCCCAGACAAATGGTCTTTACAGGTGCAGTGTCAAATTGGAATGGCAACTCAGAAACAATGAACAAAGTTTATATGTGGTAAGAGGAGACAAATACAAGTCCAGGAACATTATTTCACATTTAGAGTGAATTAAGTTTATCATTAGTTGTTTATCCTAGTTAATACACATTTATAGAGGTAAGTTCCTTTATTTGGAAATTTTTGTGGCCGCCTATAATTTCAGCACTTGCCATACAAAGAAGGGAGGAGGGTTTCAAATTTAAGGCCAGACTAAAGCACATGATAAAACACTATTTCAAAAACAAGCAAGGAAACAAAAGCTTTTGAGATTTTGTTGTTGTTGTTGTCAGTTGTGGGGGCTGAACTCTGGGCCTGGGCGCTGTCCCTCAGCTCTCCCAGCTGAAGGCTAGTGCCTTATCACTTGAGTCACAGCACCCCTTCTGGCTTTTTTCTGCTTATGAGGTGCTGAGGAATCCAACCTAGGGCCTCGTGCATGTGAGGTAAGCACTCTATAAGTGACTGGATCTTTTTTTTTTAAGCCTGTAAAGAAATAGTGTGATACTATTATGCAATTTGTTATTAATGTACTAAGCTGGAAGCTTGTCTGCTATCTACTTTCAGTAATTTATAATTGAATCTACATGTTAAATAAGTATAATAACACTCAGTTTTATTGTCTTCCATTTCATACTTTTGCATTTGTTAAAGTTTTGCTGCATATTTGTACTAATAGTAGTTGGCAGTCATAAGGAAAAGCCTGTTGCCTGATTGCTCATAGTATTTTAGGTGGTAGGGCAGTAACCCCCAAGTCAGTAGGGCTGCTCTTGTTCAGAAAGCCGTCCTTCATTGCTTCCTTCATTTCAGTCAGAAAGGTGATGTAGCATGTTCAGAAATATTTTGCATATAATCAGAATGAGAGAGATGAAATGCTTTACTTGCATTTGGGAGATTCAGAGATTATTAGCATTTTTCTCATGCTTATTTAAATGAGTACCAATTGGGTATACATTTAATTTTAGTTTATATAGAATATTTTAGAAAGCTTTAAGTTCACTGATAAGTGATGGCCTACCCAAGTATTTTCTGAACTTTTAAAATACATATTAGACAACAATTTATAAGTGATTAATTTGAGCTAAACACCAAGTTTTTAAACAATCAAGTTTTGTTTGATAAGTGATGTGAATTTTAAAAAGTGTAATAGTTATTGCACTCAGCTGATTCTTTCAAAATTAGATATTCTTTATCAGTTGTCTATTAGTGATTGTATACTTAAGCACATATGCAAACTGATTTGTCATTATTTTTACTTCATAGGAATCATCTAGAACAGTTTCAGGCAGATATAAAAGGTAAGAATCTTAAATTTGTTACTCATATTGTAGACATGAGTATAATGTCTGTCTGACCATTACTTAAGTAAGTAGAACTGCTTAAAGTAGCTTTTTGAAAAGCAGGAAACCTTAATATTGTGAGAAATTACATTGTAGGCAGGCATGTAATGTCTGTCTGACCATAGGTTATTCTGACGTATCCTGCAGTTTTTGAAAACTGCCCACACTGTGAATTTGCATAGTTTGATGAACTTTGCAAAATAAAAACTTAGAATCACTTTACCTCATATATTCAACTATTGAAAATACAAGTACTTAAAGCCACCAGCACAACTATGTTTATTGCAGCATTATTTACCATAGCTGAGATATGGAACCAAACTAGATGCCCCTCTGTAGATGAATGGATCAAGAAAATTTGGTATATATACACAATGAAATTCTATGCCTCCATTAGAAAGAATGACATTGCCCCATTTGTTAGGAAATGGAAAGACTTGGAAAAAATTAAGTAGGTAAGCCAGGCCCAAAGAAACATAGGTTCCATGGTTTCCCTTATTTGTAATAGTATATGTCTGAGACAAGCAGAATAGGTCAGATAAGATGATGTTAAGTGAAATGAACCCCAAGATAAGGACACAAGTGTTTTTTTTTTTCTTGCTTGCTATTGTTTCTAATGTATTTATAAGGTACCATGTGATTTTTTTTTTTGCTTTGTATGTCCCTCCCCCACGGTATAACCCCTGTTTTCACTGTATTTGATGTTGGTATAATTTGGGGGGGGGAGGGAAAAAACAAATTGTTTAAATAGGGATACAGGTGGACCCATTGCAACAATGAGATGTACAAGATGCTATGTTGAAAAATGAACTTGTTACAATTTAGGTGAGGGGTGGGGAGTGTAGTTGTGGAGATGGGAGGGAAGGGATGGTAGGGGAAAACAAAGGAGAAGGCAACAGTGCTTGATAAGAAATGTACCCATTACCTTGTTCATGTAATTGTAACCCCTCTGTACAGTATTTTCACAATAAAAAACTTATTTAAAAAAAAGAAAAAAGAAAATCTATTGTAACAAATGAGAAGGAGGTGATCTGTGATGGGAGAGATTTCTCTCTGTGAGGAGAGGCAAATGCCCCATGAGTGTGCGTTTCAATAAACGCAAGAGTAAAATTTCAAAAAAAAATACAAGTATTCCACTTATATTAAGAAAATGCCATAAAGCTATAGGTGGCTTGAACAACAAAATTAATTTACTCACATTTTGTAAGGTTAGGTGTTCTTGATCATATTTTCACTCAGCTAGGTTTTGATGGGGGCTGTCTTAAATAAACCTGGGATACAATTAGCCATCTTGTATTATTCTGTAGTGAAGTTGGAGACTGGCTTTTTGATGTCCTTTTTATGATGTCCCATCATGGAGGGACCTCTACCTTCCTGACTTCATCCAAACCTATCTCTCAAATGCCTATTAATAAGTGCAGTCACATTGTGGGGTAGGATTTGAATATATTTATTATATTATACCTAAGTGATGAATAAACACCAGAGTGTTTATATGTGTACGTATATAGGAACATAATTGCAGTCATTGTGAAAAATTGTTCATTGATAGATAGTACCAGAAAGGTTAACTTCCTGGTCTTGGTGAGATTGTAAAGGTTACTGAAACATGTGCTTATAATGTGCTAAAACATAGATTAATGGGTTCTTATAATGTTTTAAGACACTTCAAATAGCAGTCTCAGTTTTCCTGGTAATTTTTTAAAGTAGATACAAATTTTACTTTCCTTTGATAGATGAGGTAAATGATGTTCTAGAGGTAGAATATTTTTCTTGGTGCTACAAACTTAGTAGCAGAAACTGAATTTGAACTCAGGCAGACTTATGTTAGCATTCATATGCCTGGGTGGTCTCCAGCTAGCATTATAGGTGTAAGGCCTCCCACAATGATTTTTATTATTCTCTCTTTAAAAGGAGTTTCATGAGTTGTAACTCAAGCATCATAAAAGTCACCCTTTTAAGATATATTCACAGTGCTATAACCATCACTACTATCCAGTTCCAGAATTTATTTTCCTACCATGAAAGGAAAGCCTTTACTCATTAAAGAGTCAGGCCTTAATTATTGCTCTTAGCAATAATCTACTTTCAGTCACTATAGATTTATCTATACTAGATATTTCATATATGTGAAACCATACATATACAATGTAGTCCTTTGTGACTGTGTTCCTTCACTTAGCATATCAGAAAATTCACAAATCTACTATATCTTATTTAGTCATTCATCATTTATTTATGCTAATATGAAATGTTATAGGTGCATGTAATACATAGTAGAGAATATGTTTTAAACATTCATGTACAAGATTTTGGTCCCGCCCCCCGACTTGGGGCTTGAACTTAGGGTATAGGCACTGTCCTTGAGCTTTTTTGCTCAAGGCTAGCTCTCTACCACTTGTGCCACAATTCTACTTCAGATTTTTGGCAGGTTTGGCAGGAGATAAGAGTTTCATAAAGTTTCTTGCCCAATCTGCTTTGAACTGTGATCCCCAGATCTCAGACTCCTGAGTAGCCAGGATTACAGGCATGAGCCACTGGCACTTGGTGATTCTGATATATTCTTAGTACATAGAAAATTTTTGTACTGTTTTGTTAAAGGGTTTTTCCCTCAAAGCAAAAGAGACATTATATGTCAAATATTTATTGACTCATTCTAAGCTGTGAAGTCCTGTGTGAGAGACTCCTGGTAAGTTAATAATACTGTATAATTTTAGCTATTCTTTCTGGGATATAACAAATGACATTTAGAAGAATGTTTTCTTTTCTGAATTTGTTTTGTCTAACTCCCAAGTAGTAATAGTTGAGCAGCCAAGTACTTTCGATAAAGTAACTATTTGATTTTTTAAAAAGGATAATTCCCTATATTTAGTATGACAAACATGAGCATAAATGATAACTTGTAAATGGAACAACTGAAATTTTTAACAGTGAGACATATTTAAAGCTGTGCTATATTCTTGTAAACAGTAAAAATGTAGTTATTAAAATTATGGCATAGAAAAATAAGGATTGCATAAGAAAGTTATAACCTGCTTACATTAAATGTAGAATAGGAAGAAGAGTGTTAATCAAATAAAAAATATATATACATTACTGTAGACTTGGCCTATATATGATATATAATCTGAGATCTAATGTCATGTGTCACTAAAATTCTGTTAAACAATATTTTCAAGCTGGGTGCTGGTGGCTCATGCTTATAATCCTAGGCTGAGATCTGAGGATCATGGATTCAGAGCCAGCCCAGGCAGGAATGCCCTTGAGACTCTTATCTCCAATTAACTACCAGAAAACTAGAAGTGGCATTGTGGCTTAACTGGTAGAGTGCTCACCTAGAGCTGAAGAGCTGAGGGACAATGCCCAGGCCTAGAGTTCAGGCCCCACAACCAACAAAAAAAAAGAAAGAAAAAAGAATATTTTCTTGCCCGGTGCCTGTAATCCTAGCTACTCAGGATGCTGAAATCTGAGGATTGTGGTTTAAAGCCAGCCAGGGCAGAAAATTCCCCATGAGACTCTTATATCTAACTATGAGACTCTTATCTCTAATCACTCAAAAATCAGAAGTGATGCTATAGCTCAAACGCTAGCCTTGAGCACAAAGAGGTTCAGGGCCTGTGTTCATGTCCTGAGTTCAAGTCCCATATCTGACAAAAGAATAAAAATGGAAAAATAATATTTTCCTGGGAGATCTCTTTTTTCACTGAGATTTTTTGCCTGGATATTTTTTTTTTTTTTGGGTCCGGTTGTGGAGCCTGAACTCTGGGCCTGGGTGCTGTCCCTGAGCTCTTCAGCTCAAGGCTAGCGCTCTACCACTTGAGCCACAGTGCCACTTCCGGCTTTTTTCTCTTTGCTTATGTGGTGCTGAGGAATCAAACCCAGGGCCTCAGGCATGCAAGGCAAGCGCTCTACCACTGAGCCACCTTCCCAGCCCATTCACTGAGATTTTTGAAGATTTCTGAGATCCAGAAAAGTTAGGAACCTATTAATACGTTTTAAAAAGGATAGTCGGGGCTGGGGAGGTGGCTCAGTGGTAGAGCGCTTGCCTTGCATGCATGAGGCCCTGGGTTCGATTCCCCAGCACCACATAAGCAAAAAGGAAAAAAAGCCGGATGTGGCGCTGTGGCTCAAGTGGTAGAATGCTAGCCTTGAGCTAAAGGAGCTGAGGGACAGCGCCCAGGCCCAGAGTTCAGGCCCCACAACCGGACCCCCCCCCAAAAAAAAGGATAGTCATTTTTTTCTGAGTTGATAGGGTTACTGATAAAGCTTATTTTTATATTTCTGCATAGCATAAATCATTTTTATTAGAGTTGGAGACTTGGTTCTGATTGCTAGTAATTGGTTGTGTGTGTGTGTGTATGTGTGTGTGTGTGTCTAATTGGAAGAAGAAAAGAGAGAACGCTTTAGACAGCATGAGCTACACTGAGGAGTGGGAGGGCAAGGTAGTAAGAGATGCTAAAAATATGGAGACTACCCATGCCCTTATTGGGTCATGTAGGAAATCACATCCTATGCTTTTAAGTATTTGATATCCATTCTTAAAGTGGGATTGTACCCAGGAGTCTTGTATTTCTATTAATTGCTAAGCTTTAAAATGTCTATATTATCAGAAAATTCCTCTAGCTGTAATCTTAGTGCTGCCAACCTCACTCTCATGATAGTTTTAGAATAACAGTGTTATTTTCTCCAACACAGCACTCATCTTTCCAGAGAAGATGTGAAATACTCAGAAGGGGGGAATCTTCCAGTAAAAGATGGTGTTTATCTTCAGTGATACTGGTTATGATTTTCCCTTTTCTGAACATTATAATTAATATTGTTGTAGCTGAGGGCAAATGGAGGAAGATTCTGTTTGGATCTTAGTTAGAGATTTGTGTTAACATTCCTAAGTAGAACATTACAATCTTTTTGGAGTTAATAAAACAACTTTTTATTTTGAATATTTTCCATTTTGCATA